GTTGCGACCAGAGTCACGGAACGGATTAAATTCGTAACCCGAGGTACCACTGTATTTCATAATCATGATATGAGAATTAAAAATTAAGAACCAGTGTCACAAATTTTAAAAACATCTAATCACTTTAATAAATGTTAATATTAACATTGTTAATTTTTTTTTTTTATGAAATACAGATTGTAAAACTGCTTTTGCATATCTAAAGGGACCTAGGGTTTATCCACACTTACCATTTAAGATGCTAATGTCTTCTGCCCATGCTTGACTCTAAATTGGGTTAAGAAAATCCTGTTCAGACTAAGATACTTTGGAACAGCTTGCTAGGTGTTCAGATTGGCCTGCAAGTTACATGTTCTCCCCTGGAAAATTTCCCTGCTGCTGTGTTCCTGCCTTTCTATTCCATGATAGCAATCGCCAGTCACTTTCTTTCTTATGGATTGGATCTTCCCGGACATGCATACTTTTATATGCATAGGTATGCATTTGTATACATACTTACATGCACGTACACATATTGGGTATATACACACATGCACATACACAGAGTTCATTCAAGCATGAGGGCACAAGAAGAAACTTAAAAAGATTTCTACCATGCACTTTAATAGGTTCTAGACTTACAAGTACTGTATAAGCATTCTTGAAATAGTTCAGTGATTCGAAACTTTACTTATCATACTGAAAATTGCCAGTTAAAACCCAGCTGAAAAGGTATTTTTCTCCTGGGCTTTTTAAAAAAATGTAGAGGAGAACAGAGATAACCTTGATGAAAGAATGCAATAACCATTACAAGAAAGTCAAAGACCTCTCAGTCTTGGGAAAATATGAGAAAGTAACTAAAAGTAATCCTGCCTTGATAAGAAAGGGCAGATGGATATTCTGGCAGGCTTTCCCGATTCTGTTATACCCAACAGTAGAGTAGCATTCCTGAAATCCTTGCTTTCTGACCTAGCTTATCTTGAAGGGGTGACAAAAAATAAAGCTACTGTAAAACCTAACTTATTTTTTAAAAAGTGGTCAGAGGGAAAACTATTAAACAAAAGAACAATTGCAGGTAACTCTCACTTACCAACCACAGTTGGAACTAGCAACTCCATTACTAAGCAACATGGTCGTAAAGTGAAGCATTACATGATTGCACCCAACTTATGGCCTGAGTTTGTCAGTTCTGCCAGCAGTCATTAAATGGATCACCATGGGTTGTTAAGTGCAACATCACATGACCACAACTTGTGATTTCCTGCAGTCTTCCTTACTGACTTTGCTTGTCGGAAGCCAGCTGTGAAAGTCACAAATGGCAATTATGTGAGCATGGGATACTGCGACCATCATAAATGAATGATGGTTGCCAAGCCCAAGTGCCCAAATCGTGATCACGTGACCATGGGGATGCTGCAATCACCACAACTTCAAGGCCAGTGATGAGTCTACTTTTTCCGAGCTGTCATAACTTGGAACGGTCATTGAATGAGTGGTCAGTAAGTAAGGACTATCTGCATAATTAAACAAAAATTCTGCCTGGATTTGAACCAGCAACCTTCTCCGTGCTAACCAAAGACCACAGCCACTATGCTCTGACAACTCTGTTATTAAAGAGAGGTGTAGAATGTATTAGAGTGTGTGGTAAGCATTGGCTTAGATGAAGGGTCAGTCCTTCTGCAAAGTAGCAGGTGAACCTCAGAGATTAATCTACAAACTAAAGGGTTGTATTCCAAGGAGAGGAGTACTTAAGGTGACATAACAGTGAAAAACTGTATTTTGGATGTGGAGGAGAAAAAAGTGACTGAGATCACTTTAAAGGTGAGTAAGGGATTTATGTGGCAATGTTATCCATTACTACCCTTTAGAAATGTTTGCCTGCCCTTTTTGGCAATAGGGCAACTGGACAGATTATAAAGCATTCATATTTTAGGGAGTCAGTACAGAAAATAAATTTTCCTTATTTAAAGTTCCATATGTGTCTTGTAGGTCAAATCGTTAAAGACAAGAGGATTTTCTACTTACTACAGAGAGTTGATCAGTTACTTACTTCAGCAACAATGGAGCGCATTGAGTTTGTGCCACATTATGACACAATTTTGAAAAGTGGAATGTATGAATACTATGCCAGCGAAGGGAAAAATCCTCTACGTAAGTATTTAAATATTAACAATATTATAAGAGAGTAAGCAGGCACACAATGGGTGCTGTTTGCTAAGCACATGCCTGGCTCCCAGCCCTGAACACACTTGGCAAACAGCTGCCACCACAGCATTCCTTTCAATGTGTATTCCCGATTGTATGCCTGCTTATTCTCTTGTAATCCCTTCCTCTCCAGTCTTGCTGCTCTGCAAGTGGGGGGTGGGGGAGAAGAACTACAGGTCAGGCACAGGACAATGTGTACTGACTGTAATAGCAGTCATGTGACTGAGGGATGCTGCAAAGGTCGTAAATGCAGGCATTGATCATAAAGCTATTTTTTTAGCATCGCCATAGCTTTGAACACTCGCTGAACAAGGCAGTCAGTAAGCAAGGTGTGCCTGTACACTGAAGCTGATTTGAATGTGCTCTTCCTGCGTGAGTAGTTATGAAATATATTTCCATGTAATATCAAAAAATGCATGAGAATAAGATTGCTTTTCTGTGCTTGATTCAAAATATCCACAAAGAACGAATGTATTCATGTAATAGTAAAAGTCATTATAAAATCAAATAATAAAGCACTTTTTTAGGTACTGAAGAACTTTAGAGTTGTTGAAAGTCAGATGGTGTACAAGTTTAATAAATTATTATGGTTGGTCACACAGCCAGATGTTTAGACTGGATTTGGCAGTTTTATCCACCTGTTGAGTCCTTCCCAAGGACCTGGGATTGACAGAAGTTGTTGTTTGATAGTGTTAAAGGTATTGTTACAGGATATAAGCTGTTCCAAGTAAAGCTGCCTTTTGCAATTGACTGCTTATGATTTTGTCAATGCCGATGGTGATCAGATGGTGTTCCAGATGTTTTGGGATTGCACCTAAGGCTCCTATACTGTAGCTATTGGTACTATCTTTGCTTTCCTTTGCCATAGTCATTCTACTTCTATTTGCAGATCTTTATATTTTGTGATTTTCTCCAGTTCTTTCTCTTCTATTCTGCTGCTATTTGCAGATCTTTATATTTTGTGATTTTCTCCAGTTCTTTCTCTTCTATTCTGCTGCTATTTGCAGATCTTTATATTTTGTGATTTTCTCCAGTTCTTTCTCTTCTATTCTGCTGTCTCCAGAATAGAAGAAACAATTCTCTTGCCTCTTCTCTTGTCAATTAGGAGCTGGTCTTTTGTCCCTCTACTGTTTGGGCAGTTTCCTTTCTGCTCAGATAGAAATAACTTGTTTTGACTATCCACTATCCAGACTTTTTTGTTCTTCTTATCAACAGTTGTTAAGTTTGGGGTGTTGTGTGGCAGGTGCCTGTTTGAATTCTGAAGTCTCAGCTTGTTCATTTTCTATTACTTTGTGTGTTTTGTGGTCCCATCAGTTCTTGCTTGCAAGCGAATGGTATTTCTTGCAGGGCTTTTAGTTCAGCTTGAGTCCAGTCCACTATTCCAGCTGTATGCTTTTAGTTCAGCTTGAGTCCAGTCCACTATTCCAGCTGTATGCTTTTAGTTCAGCTTGAGTCCAGTCCACTATTCCAGCTGTATATCTAATGACTGGAATTGCCCAGGTGTTAATCGCCTTGATGGTATTTCTGCCACTGAGTTTGGACTTTAAGATTGTCTTCAGTCTTCTGAAGTATTCACACTAACCTTCTTCTTGACTT